TAAACAATAAAATTTTTTATTGCTCTGAAAGAGATGACAAACTCAGAAAGTTTCTTTTCTGGGTTGCAGCTCAGCTTACTCAGTTTCTTATCAGTCTTTTTGGTGCTGGAAGCATTGTGGCTCAGGCCCGGCCCGGTGGGCTACAGGTGTGAGTTGCTGGTGCTCTTTTGGGTGTTTAGTTTAGAGAAGGTTTAAACAGGTCTAAAGAAAAGGGAAAAAAACTCCTACAGTTTAGGGAACTTCTTTGCTTTAGCTAGCTAAAACTAACTAAAACAAAGGAGAGCTCTGTCCTGCTGTCTGTCCATCCACAGACAACACAGTCCAGGAGCAGGAATGTGGAGGAATGAGTGCAATGCCTGAAAACAAACTGCTGCTTCTTCTCTCCCCCCTTCACTCTCTGGAACAAGGCTTAAAGGTGCAAAACTTATTATTCAGCATCAACAGAACAAGACAACTGGGGATAAAAGCATCATGTAGTCAACCCAGGACAACAGGTCACATCCTTTCCCAGCCAGGTTCCTGCAGGAATGCTGCCCTTGGACATGCCTCCTGCTTCCCCACCTGGGAATGCAAACCCAGTTCTCACATGTACCCTCTCTGGCCAATGTTTCAGGCCTTGGGCTCCAAAATTCCTGGTGGTGGATACCCCCAGGTACTAAAAACACCAGGGACTGCAGCATTTCTGCTCATCACATCATTGTTCTTAATGACAGATTTGTTAGTGCTTGTGTGCAGAGGTGAAAAACTCTGTTCTTACTGCTTTGATGTACCAAAGTATTTCACAAGAGGAGGTACAGATGAAAAAAAGAGGCTGGAGAGGGACTTTTTACATGGACATACAGTGATAGGACAAGCAGGAATGACCTTAAGCTAAAGGAGAGTAGGTTTGCATTTGGTATAAGGAAGAAATTCTTCCCTGTGAGGGTGGTGAGATCCTCGCACAGGGTGCCCAGAGAAGCTGTGGCTGCCCCGTTCCAGTGTTCCAGGCCAGCTTGGATGGGGCTTGGAGCAACCTGGGAGAGTGGAAGCTGTCCCTGCCCATGGCAGCAGGGCTGGAACAAGATGATCTGTGAGGTGTCTTTCAACCCAAACTGTTCTATGACTCTGTGAAAAGAGTAACCCACAGTAATTCCTGGCTCCTCACCAGATATGACACAAATGCATGCAGAGCTCATGCTTGGGACATACATCCTGTTCCCAAAAATCTCACAGGCTCAGGCCCCTGATCTATCAGCAGATGCAGCACAGGATGGCTCTTCACCACATGCAGCTGCTCAGTCTGTTCCAGCTCCACCAGTGAGCAAAGATTTCATGAATCACCTCCTGAATTACCATAAAATTTGCATTACAGCTTTTTGAGGCAAAACACAGCCATGGTCTACCTTTGAACCTTTGGACTCCTACTGATTTTTCAGCAAATCAGTCCAAACCTAATTCATACAAGGAAAATGTGACAGAAAATAAAAATACACCATCAGCTTACTTTGTTTCTGTAAATAGCCCCAGTCATCAGCCCTGTCCAAACTAATAACATAAATTAAATGGTTATGGTAGTTCAGAATATAAACAGACCTGTGAAGGTTATAAAGGAAATCACAGAACTATGAATGTTCACAGTTACACAGCTACAGGTAACAGCTATTCTTTATATTCCTCTGTTTTCTCCTGTTTTACTGAGTTGAAAACTATTTATCATGTGTTAATGCAATGCACAATGTAATGGAACCTTAATGTAATAGAAAATATAAATAAAATAAATAAATAGCAAGTAATTATACTGTTTTCTGGGTCTCATTTCCTACTTGTGCTACATGCAGGGGTGCACACACAATTGTGGAGCTTTGTGCCACAACACACCCAAACAGGCAGTATAAAGCTGGAAAAGGATGTAAACTGCAGCTGCACAGTGCATTCCCAGTGGGGATTTTGCCAGATATCCCCAAAGACACAGGAATGCAGCTGAGTACAGAAAATATAAGTAGGAGAAATTCACAAGCATCTTGTGATTGGTTAGTGGTGAGAATTTATTGTGTTAACTCTGTGCTTCAACCCTTCTTTTACAACAAAGCTGAGTAAAATATATTTCTCTTGTTTAAAAGAAAGGTTAAATCAGGGAGGTTTTGTGCATTGTACACCTGCAGTCTCCATCAGCTGAGATTTTATGTCCTGCCCTGAGACAGGCATGAAGTTCCTGCTTGGTGTCAACCTGAGCTTCAGAAGGAGAGCACTTCGAAAACTTAAAACACCCTTTACAAGGTAATGTCCATTCTTGCTGTTTTACAACTTATAAAAAGTAAGTACACTCATCTGGTTAGTATTATCTTAATGAGAGGTAAGTACATCCTAAAGTTACTCAGAGAAGCTGTGGCTGCTCCATCCCTGGAAGTCTCCCATGCTAAGTTGGGAGAGTTCTTAAGGAATTGATGGGAAAATTTTTAAGGAATTTTCTATTCAAGTCTATTCTATGAATTCTGAAAGGATCACATCATAATGGAGCCCTTGGATTTGACAAACATCTTTTCCAAAGAAGACCAAAAAAACATTTCTCCTTATAATGCCTGAACTTAGTTTCCACTTGAGAAGCTAATTTTCACTTTCTGCAGAGGCCATCACTGCTAACAGCTTTTAAAAGTCAGCCAAAGTGAACCTGCACATCAGCAGCAGGAGTGACAGCTCTGCTGCACTTTGCCCCGTGGCTGATGCAGGTGGCACTTTGGAGTTCAGCAAACAAATTCTGGTATCTGCACAACGTGCTTAACTCCAGCTGGGAAGCGCAAGAGCCAATGTAGAGCTGGAGTGCAAGGCCCTGAAAAGAAAATCACAGTTACTGGTGAGGGAGGTCACAGTCTTGCCCCACACCCTCTGTGAGCCCTGCTGAGGTTCCCCTGCTGTGTCGGTGGCAGCAGACAACAGGTCAATTAAAGTCAGCACATAATATGATAACGAGCCTTATTCTCAAGAGTTACACAAATTATATTGACACACTTAGTGTAAATAAAAGCAAGATAAGGTGCCTTCTGTCTCTAAAGCAATATGGCAGAAATATAGATTTGATTGGATTGCTCTTTCTACATTTTTATTTTCTCCAGCTGTGAAGTGTTGAGGAGACTTTGTGCAGAAGTAGAACTGAGGGATGGAGAGCTGTCCTGCAGAGAAAGACTTGGGCGTACTGATGGGTGAAAAATTGGACATGAGCCAGCAATATGATCTTGCAGCCCACATTTTCCACCTCTACTCTGCACTGGTGAGACTGAAGGTCTGTGTCCTGCTATGGATTTCTGGGACCACAAAAAAGGTGTGGACATGTTGGAGGAGGGCCATTAAAATGGTCAGTGGGCTGTGGCAAAAGGCTGAGGGAGTTGCAGTTGCTCACCTGGGAGAAGAAAAGGCTCCATGGAGAACTTATTGTGGCCTGTTAATATATAAAGGGACTTCTAAGAAACACAAAGATTACAAAAGATGTAGTGTCAGGACAAGGGGCAACAGTTTTAAACTGAAAGAGGGCAGAGTTAGATTTGATATTAAGAAATTCTTCCTTGTGAGGATGATGAGGTTGCACAGAGAAGCTGTGGCTACCCCTGCATTGGAAGTATTCCAGGCCAGGTTGGACTAGCCTGGTCTGGTGGAAGATGTCCCTGCCCATTGCAGGGGGTTGAAATGAGATGGTCATTCAGGTCCCTTCCAACCCCAACCATTTTGTGATTCTATAAAATGAGTAAATTTGCACAGTTTTGTGGGTGAAGTGCTTCCTCTTGGAATGTTCACAAGGTGGGCCTCACATGGCTTGCTGCCAGCCCTGCTAATAATACTGTGACAGCATGGGTGTGAGTATTTTCTACAGTGCTGTGATGCAATTTCTTTGATCCACATTAGAGTGAATAAAGCTCCAGAGCAATTATCTGAGATTACTTCAGTGTCTGTGTAAAACATAGATTTGAAAAATGCTCTTACTTCACTCAATTATTTATGAGAGTACAATAACACTAAAATGACCAGCAATAAGTAGAACACCCTCTTCCTCTATGTTCTCTTTCACCATGAGCAAAACAGAATACTTTATCATGAGAAAAGCTCTTTGCTTTGTTTAGGAAAACAAAACTTTAGGGAGGATCTGTCATAAAATGAATGCAAGTGAAGTAAGGCCACGTCTCCATCCTCTCTGCTTCAGCATGTAATTTGTGCTGTATGGTTTAGTGTTGCCTGAAGAGGAGACAAACAGGCACACATCCAGCCAAAGATAGTCCTATGTAAATGTAACAGAGTGCCAAAAATACTTCTTACATACATCTGTCTGATCCGACAATGGATATGAACCTTCCCTCTATTGATTTTATTTTATACCTTTTTCAACCACAAATTATTATTTCAGGAAGTGTCATCTCCTTTTTAATAGCATTTACTGAAAACCTAAAACTGTATCCTAGGTAAGAATCATCCATTTGAGCCCTTTAAATGTGGCAATCATTAGGACCTGATGTTGATTCAAGGAACAATTCTGCTGGCACTACATCAATGAAAATTTTCCTCTTGCTTACAAACAGCACAAGCTCCCCTGTTTTCTGCATCCAAGTTACCTTCTGGAGTTCAAGTCTCTGAGGTTTTCAGCACTTAAGCCTCTGCATTCCTATCTCCCCTAATTGCCTCTCATTTCAGCTTTTAGCAGCATGTTGTTCCACCTTCATGTTTTCTCACACATAACCCCTTCTGCCTGCTGCCTTTCTCAGGCAATTTAGAGACTTGAAGAAAATAACTCCCATCTTTTCTTCCTTCAAATCATTCCTCAATTTTGCTTATGACTTGCATCCATTTCATTTCACTTTGTTTAGTTAAACTTTTGTGTGTGAGCTCCCATCAATTTAAAACTTGAAGTCTAATTCTAATAATCATAGAATTATAGAATGGTTTGGGTTTGAAAGGACCTTCAAGATCACCCAGTTCCAACCCCTCTGCCATGGGCAGGGACACCTTCCACTATCCCAGGCTGCTTCAAGCCCCATCCAACCTGGCCTGGGAGACTTCCAGGGATGGAGCAGCCACAGCTTCTCTGGGCACCCTGTGCCAGGGCCTCTCCACCCTCACAGGGAAGAATTTCTTCCTAAATTCTAATCTAACCTCAGTCAGTTTAAAGCCATTCCCCTTTATCCTGTCACTCCAGGCCCTTGTCCAAAGTTCCTCTCCAGCTCTTTTGGAGCCTCTTTAGGCACTGGAAGGTTCTCTAAGGACTCCCTGAAGCCTTCCCTTCCCCAGGCTGAACAATTAGGACTAGATGAAATGCTGTGTCTTCTATCCATTGGTAAAACAGTAAATACAGCTGTGAGCCACTGTTTCACAGTTCAACACAGCCTGTTCCCAAGCAGTAGATGCTAAACTAGAGACATTGCACTTCCTTTTGCCAGAATGAGCTGCATCTGTACCAGTCAGTCAAGCAGGGCCAGGTTGTGGAGTTGTACACTGGCACATGGTCATCCACACTTTCAGTCTCTTCCTGACGTTCCTGGTATGGCTTTGCACACAAGTCCCCAGGAATGTGGGCATGTCTGAGGGACATCAGCTACACACACAAGCCAGGTCAGCCCAGCTGATCTCAGTACTAGAAAGCTCAAAGATTGCTTTACTTGCTAGCAAAGACAGCAAAGGTGATTACACAAGTCTTTGCAGCTATTTAGGTAAGTGAAGTGTAACTGTGAGTGAATCATTTCTCCTCCTCTCCCCTCCTTACATCTCACTGTTTGCTCCCTCAGGAAAAAAAAAATAGAAAAATATATAGAAAAATGTCTTATAACAACAGAGCATCACAGAAAAATGCAAAATACCAATATAAAATACACAAGGGTAAGACAATGCTTATTCAGACAGCCAGGACAAAAACAGGAGCATCTTCAGGCACAGAACATGATTCCTGGGTGTTGGTCAGTGACTTTTTGAGGCATGCCCTGGCCAGGATTTCCTCAGTATAAGAAGTAAGAGCCATTTTCCACCTTGTACCTGGTGTGACACTTGTGTTTGAAGCAGTAAAACTCTGCAATGATCCCAGCCACCTGCAGCTCCACTTGGCCCTGCCCTTCTTCCCAATGTCACATCCATGGCTTCTCAATTTGATTATAAACTGCTTGGCATTGGGTTTTGCTTGCAAAGTGCTCTGTGAGCATTCACTGACACCTGCATTAACTGTATTTGTTTAAAAGAGACACATTACTTTTAAAGGACAACGTTTGCCTCCAGACAAAGAATTCCTGCACATCAAGTCTCCCCCTGACCCAAAAGGATATTTTATTGTGACTGAAGTGATCCAGATGTGTCCTTCACATAAGGGTGAACTCACGTCAGGTCTGCCTGAGACCTGCACGTTCCCTCCAGACCACTCTAATTTGACTT